AAATGTCAGACGAACAAAATGACGTATGTGTCAAATTAATACGCTGCGTGCTTTTCGCTGGCGCGAAAAGTTAAATCTCTTAGTTAAACCAGAAAAAACTTATGCATACACCTGGTATATGAACAAGCTTTCATATTTAGTATATGACATTTGATGAACGTGTAAACAACATTTTTGTCATTGCATTAAAATTGTCAACTTTTGTGACAACAAAACAACATTTGCAAAAAGTTTTACTGCATTATTCTATTGTTATGAAAAATGCTAAGAAAAATGTTAAGAAAAATGCAGGTGAAAGTTATCGTTTTCTTGTGGAAGCGTATGGGGAGCATGCTTTACCCAAAATAAATTGTAGAGTGTGGTTTCAATGCTTTAGAAATGATGATTTCGATGCGAAAGATAAAAAACGCGAAGGTGCACCGAAAAAATATGAAACTAAACAACTGGAAACATTACTTGATGAAGATCCATGTCAAATGTTGAAAGAATTATCGGACATTAAATGTTGATCAATCGACTGTTAGCAACGTTTAAAAGTAATGGAAATGATTCAAAAACTCGGAAACTTGTTACCACATGAATTGAAAGAAAGAGACTGTAAAAGATGTTTATCCGTGTGTGAATTGTTGCTTCAAAGACAGAACAGGAAGTCATTTTTCCATCAAATCGTTACTGGGGATAAAAATAGATCCACTACGAGAATCCGAAACAACCGCAAGCATGGAGCAAGCCTGGCCAGCCATCATCATCAACGCCAAAATGGAACATTCATGGACAGAAAATTACGTTGTGTATTTGATGGAATCAAAAAGGCATGATGTATCATAAGCTACTGCGACCGTGTCAGACCATTAATAGTGAAAGTTACCGAGAACAATTAATGAATTTGAACGGAGCATTGAAAGACAAACGTCCAGAATATGCCAAAATGACAAAGTGAGTTTGTTACACGACAATGCTCGACCACACGTTGCGAAACTAGTCAAGGATAGGTTGGAAGCACTCGGCTGAGATGTGTTACCTCACCCACCGTATTCCCCAGACCTGGCTCCTTCAGATTATTATTTGTTTCAGTCTGTGCAATATATTCTTGCTGAGCAGCGCTTCACTTTGTATGAAAATATCAAAAATTAGCTTGAGCACTGGATTGCTTCAAAAGAACCGGAGTTCTTCTATCGCAGAATCCACTTATTATGTAAAAAGTGGGAAAAGATTATAGCTAACGTGAAAAGTGGGAAAAAGTTATAGCTAACGATGAGCACTATTCTGAATAAACTATTTGTTCTATTTCTCATGAAACACAGGTCTTTTATTTCACAAAAAACGATGAAAATTTGTTTAAACACCTAATATGTATATACACATATATATGTATACATATAGTCCCATTTTAACTTAGCCACCTAAATATTTTGAGAACAGTGTGTTAATGGAAAAATGTTTTAGATAAAAGTTGTATATTGGGTTGGCAACTAAGTAATTGCGTATTTTAAATAAGAAGAAAAATTCAAAATCTTTACTTGAAAATATAACTTTATTAAATTAGATATTGTCCGTTCTTGTCAATGACTTTTTGCAATCTTTCAGGCGGTGTCATAATTCTATGTTCATAAAACTTTTGATTTTTGTCAGCAAAAAACTGAATTAAGTGAGATTTTACATCGTCAGCGTCATTAAAAATTTTACCATTTAAAGAATTCTGCATGGAACGAAATAAATGGAAAACTGAAGGCGCAAGGTCAGCGCTATATGGTGGATGTGACAACACATCCCAAACTAGCTCCATTAATTTTTGACGAGTGACCAGATATGTGGGGCTTTGCATTATCATGTTGGAAAACAACACCCTTCCGATTTGCCAATTCTGGCCGCTTTTCTTGAATTGCATCGCTCAGTTTGGTGAGTTGTTGAATGTAGACGTTTGAATTAACCGTTTGGTTTCTTGGTAAAAGTTCAAAGTGCAGAATTCCTTTATAATTCCACCAAACTGACAGCATAATCTTTTTTGGTGAATCTCAGTTTTTGATGTTATCTGGTCAGGTTCATCCTGCTTCACCCACGATCTTTTTCGATTAACGTTGTTATAAACTATCCATTTTTCGTCGCCAGTAATCAGTCGTTTTAGAAATGGGTCAATTTCGTTGCGTTTCAGAAGCGAATCGCAAATGCTAATGCGTTGCGTCAAATGAATTTCCTTAAGCTGATGAGGGACCCATAAATCGAGTTTCTTAACATAGCCAAACTGCTTTAATTTTTTTTGAATGCATGTATGCGATACATTCAGCTTCTCTGCAATCTCACGTGTTGTGCTATGATGATTTGAATCGATAATGGCCTTGATATGGTTCTCATCAACTTTAACTGGACGGCCAGATCGTTGCGCATTTTTGAGTGAAAAATCACCGGAACAAAATTTGGCAAACCAATTTTGACACTGCCTTTCTTTCAAGGCTTCATTCCCATATACGATATATAACTTCTTGTATGCTTGCAATGCGTTCTTGCCTTTTCGGAAATAATACAATAAAATATGTCTGAAATGCGCGTTTTGTTCTTCCATTTGTAAATTGGAATAAAAACGAAACTAAATATCTAATCGATACAATTTTCTTACTAATTAAAGGTGGAAGTCCAAACAACAAGAAAACAATATAGGTTAGGTGCTTTGAACACGTTGACAAAACAAAAGAATGTGCTAAAACCATCTATCGAAAAAATCCGCAATCACTTAGTTGCCAACCCAATAATTTGGAGGCAAACATTGGATAGTGACATTGGTTTGACCTTTGAAAGTCTTGAAGGTCACATAAAGATCACCTAGAATTTGTTAAACGAAAATTCCTACTTTTTATTAAATGTTTTTATTTTACGAACTTTTCAGAACATTATAATAAAATATTTTTGCATTAAGTACTTTTCGAATTATAAGGCTTGAAAGTTGCAGTATCGCCGACATTAACACTAACCAAGACATACAGCAAAGAAGGTTTGAATAAAAAAATACTACGGGAGTGACGAACCGTGAGGTCCTCATCTCTGCTGACACACACACACACACACACACACACACAAACAGAGAACAGCAAAGAGGATTTGGAGTCAGAAAATACTATAGGAATGATGAACCGTGGGATCCTTATACCTACCTTGTAGTGCTAATGTTGACGATACTGCAACTTTCAAGCCTAATAACTCGAAAAATACTTAATGTAAATATTTACTTAATGCAAATATTTTATTATAATATTTTGAAAAGCTCTTGAAATAAGCTATAAAAATATGCAATAAAAAGTAGGATTTACCGTTTAAGAAATTAAAGGTGACCTTTATGTGATCTTCAAAAGACTATCAAAGGTCAAACCAATGTTACCATCTAATGTTCCCCTCCAAATCATACAACTTTTGCATAAAACATCTTTTTCATTAACGAAACGTTTTCAAAATATTTGGGTGTTTATGTTAAAATGGGTTACCCTGTAGATATATATAATATATGGGATGTGTTCCGATATACACTGGAAGTATTGAAAAATTATTCCGAAAAATTATTAGCATGCAATATGCTACGACAACATCTAGTTCCATCAATGACGTTATAAATGGTAGCTATATTGTTACTGCGACTACTGTAGCTCCCGAAGTGAGGCAATTATAGTGTAACATATCGTTATATAAACATAAGCAATAAAGTAGATTTATTAAATGTAGAAACGAATAGGTTACGTTCCAAAATTTACTACCAATATTAACACTGCCGGCCGCTGTCACGTACGTGTGACTTTTCTTCGCTAACTGTTATCGGCCGCTGTCACGTACACGTGACTTCTTTTCGCCAGTGGTGATGCTTCATTCCGATGTTTTTATAAATACACATATTGATACAGAGCAACAATTGATGAATAAGGAACAGTGGTGGCGAGCAGTAGAACCTGCGTGAATCTCGCCGGCGGCAGCGTAACGGCAATGCGATAAATGGACGGCCGGCAAAGTGTTAAAAATATATAGTTTATGTTACATATACCATAGATTTTCAGTATTGATAGTGAATATCGGAACGTCGATGTTTATCCATCGCGTCTTTTGCAGTTCACTGCGACTATTGCAATGTTGTTCTGAAATATGACATCACAATACTGCAATACTAAGTAATTTCGGAACAACTGTAATAGTGCACTATTCTGATGTCAAGACGGTCACATTCCCAGTGAAAAAAGAACACATTCATAGTCTTATATTAAGTAGAAAGATTAAATTTTCTGATCTAAATAAAGGACCAACAAATGTGCGTTTTTCAATGGTCTAAATGAACCTTTCCGATCCTTGACCTAATCTGCAAAATATAAAGTACGTTTAGGCTTCGCGAGAGCGCGAGTACGATGTCTGTTGCATACATCCCTTTTCAGGACGTACCACTGACATATTGCCATGTAATATTACAGCAATATTTTAATATTATTACTATATTACTACANTACTCCGATTAAAAAACCGAACGAACTTATTTGCCAACCCAATACATTTTTATGTGGGTATAAAAAATATAGATGTAATATTTTTTGCTGTCTTACAACGAATCCAAAGTTCATTAAAATCGGTGAGAGCTACTTCCGAGGGTTATCTTATAAGTTATCAAGAATCGACGCAAATATAGATATTTTTATGCTATTTCATTAGAAATAAAAGAAAAAGTAATTTTACTCATAAAAATATTATTGGAGAGAATCTAATAACATAGATAATCAAGAATTGGAAAATATCTCTTACTTGATATTTCGTCGGTAAAATGTTGCCACAGAGGAAGTCTCCATACTCGATCACCGGTTATTGTGCCAGAGTTTCTCAAAGTTTCGTAAAGATCTCCGTCATTGGTAAACACTCCAGTCGCGGCGTTTGATAATGTAACTCTTATAGCACCAGTTAGCGTAGCAATGTCCAAGATAAATCTATATAATTGAAAGATACATCAATTTATATAAAATCTATGACAATCCATGAGCTAACTTATTCAAATACATTAGCGGTATGTGTGCATGTATGTAAATATGCATACGCACACATGTGTATATATGTGTATATCAAATTCATAACACATTATTCATTCTCTCTTAGAACTACAATTTTTATATTTATCATTTTTTTTTCTAAAATGCGTTATTTTCAAAAAATTCGTATAAAGAAAAAAAATGGGATATATATGTGTATATATTGTTACGTCCCGAGGTACCCTCGGCACTCCCTCCTCCCCCACTGTTAATTTTTTTTAAATCGCTCCCTTCCTTTTCCACAACTCCTCGTCTCCCTTCCCTACGTTATACCTTTTTTCCTTCCTCGTTCGCCTCGGTAGCCATCCGGTGACAAGCACCGAGACCGCTCCTGCCATTGCTTAGTCCTGTACCCATAGCCAGCACGAGCACAGGAGCGCCGCGACGCGCCGAAACCACTGACTGCGCCGGGCCCCCGCAACACACGCGCCTCCCCAAACCCGTTATATTTACCGACCGCGCACTTGAGCCGCTAAGCCTTCCCCCTTTTTTTCCTGCACGAAACCCGCGCGAAACGCTTAGTCTATCTTAAAATTACGGGAAAAGAAAAGGCGAGGAGAAGAAACGAACTAATTACTTTCTTTCCCTTTCTTTATTTTCTCTTTTCTCCTTCTCTTCTCCCCCCTCCTATCATCATCTATGCCCTTTCGATGTTATACATTTCACAAAATCCATAGGTGTTCCATGGCCAGGGCTCATTTCAATCCTCCTCCCCAATTTGACAACATCCACTGGCCGCCCTCCGGAGGTAGTTTCTTGAGTTCACCAGATCTATCTTGTCCCAACGACTCCTCGCCCCCCCCCCCCCC